TGAAAAGGGTTTTTTAAAAGGTTTATTGGTCTCAATAAACCCTTTTTGATAGTTTATTAATCTACGACTGTTTTTTACAGTGTACATGTTCCCTTTTTTTTAGTTTTAGAGTATAATGAGTGTAATAATGGAAATTATGGTTGTTCACAAATTTGTATTAATGAACAGGGAGCAGCTCATTGTGAATGTGAACATAATTACGAGTTACAAGATGATAATAAATCATGTGAAGGTGCGTCTTAAAGTCTCATAAAGCTCTCATCAATCAGTGTTACCATTTATTTGAGGTGTTTGTAAAATACGTTAACACTTTAAAAAAAAGACATGAGCTCCATTCTTAATGTTGAATTACATTATATTTACTAAATTATAGAGCAAGAAAAGTGCTGATATGTTTTTTAAATATTAGGGAGTGTTAGCGTATTTAACAAATATACATTTATTTCATTTATGTCTTTATCTCAAGTTGCTTGCTTTATCTACAGTTACTATGTTGTAGCTAACACTTATATCAGAGTTTTTATTGAAATGTAGGCTACCTGTAATTATAGCCTAAATGGTTCGAAGTTGTCAATCAAAATCGAAATTTAAATTCTGGCTAGTAAAAACAAGGATTTCATTAGTATTTCATGAAGGCTCTATATCAAGATCAAGTTCAGAGAGCTCTGCTGGAATGAAAGCTATTCACTCGTTTGATATACATCGCTCAGAGCCGGTTGAGAAAAGGTAAACTGGTCCGTCGGCCTGAAAGTGTAACCGGACCGGTCCGACTGGAATTATGACTCAAATCGACGAAAAACTGGTAAAATACCGGCAAAAACCGGCGAAGTTTTTAGAAAAGCGATTTTCAGAAAGAATTTCCCCCTGAAATTAAATAGTTTTCGAGCACATGTGAGAGAGCCTTCACAATAACGAGTCTATAATATGTAACCTTAAAACGGGTGATGAAAACAATATCTGTCTTGAGCATCGTCTTATTTATTCTGACTGAAAAAGACGCGAAACTTTAATTTTTGACGAAAAACAGGGTAAAAAGAGCAGATGTTTCAACCGGTAAAATACCGGTCTCTACAGGCCTGATTGACTTTTCCAACCGGTGTGGTTCTGCTCGGTACCGGTTCCAGTTCTGACATCGCTTAAGTATTATGATTTCAAGACTCTACTGAAATACGACTTTAAATGTATGATAAACCAGAAACTGTCAAGTTGCCTTATTTATAGATGTATAAGATACTAGACTGTCAAATTTACATCAGATTTGATGAGGTTAACAGAAGGAAATTAAAAAAACGTTTTCCATATGGCTCATTTCTACCTCGAAATTTTTATTTTTACTGCTCTAAACTTCAACTTGATCTGGTAATTTTCGATCAAGTTTTAATTTTTGCCGTAACTTGTATATGAAATTTCCTAAAACGTTTTGCTGTTACTTATCGGTTTTATAGAAATAACGTGCCAAACTGTCGTTAACACAACGACAAGATCTTATGGCACACTCAGAAGTCCTCGTAATCGTACAACCGGTTTATACCCATCGAACAGCAACTGTTATTGGGATATTATTGCACCAACCAGTTATAGAATATGGCTTAATTTTACCTATTTTGACATGGAAGATGATACGGTAAATAATTTATAGAGAACTAAATTTAACCCTACCGTATCTCTCTTTTCCCATAGCCCGATTGTAGTTATGATCGTGTTGAAATATTTTTGCACGAAAATTATACTGATACGAAACCGTCTAGTATTTATTGTGGATATAAGAAACCGTTCGTCATTGCATCGGACAATAATCGTTTGATAATGAAATTAATTAGTGATTCATCCATTGAGAAAACGGGTTTTATTGCCATCTATATGACTGGTAAGTTTATTGTCCGTAAATATCAGCATTTAGATCTATGCTGTTTATTGGTAAATTGAAATTGACGTAATGTTTTTAGTTGAACGAATAACATATTAGTCCCTATACTTTAGGAAAAACAAGATACTTATTTCATTTCATCTAGATTTGAATGAATGTCTACATGACAATGGTGGATGTGAACAAATTTGTGTGAACACATTTGGATCATACGAATGTAAATGTCACGAAGATTATACACTAAATAAGGATAAACGAACGTGTGACAAAGGTATCAGTTTCCGTCAGTGCAATAATACAACTAAATTCAGTTCATTAACTATTTCGTTTTTTGTAGGTTTGTGTCAGTTTCATATAGTGAATAATGAAGGAACAATTTTCAGTAACACAATTAATGGTTTGAATAAAAATGATTGTTCATGGCTATTTACTACATTACCTGGACATCGAATTCAATTGGTACGAGAACACATATCATCTGTGTGCTGTACTGTATCGTAATAATTCTTTTCTTCCAGACATTTTCAAAATTTATCGTAGATGATAAATACAATTGTGAACAAAATTATGTTCAAATCTATGATGGTCCAAACAATACTTCACAACTCTTAGGGAAATATTGTAATACAAATTATCCAGGACGAGCAATCGAATCAAATGGAAATCAAATAATTTTATACTTTAAGACTAATATGACAACAAATAATGAACGTCAGTTTGTTCTACTACATGAAACAGGTAACTGATAACTTTTCTCTGTATTTCTCTAGAACAAAATCACTTAGTCACTTATCAGAGATGGGTAGGATCTCCGTCAATATCCGTCGCACAGTGTATATTCATGCGGATATTAGACAAAAAGTAAGAGATGAAATATTCTGATATTGAATGAATACAAAATAACCATTGATGTTAGGACTATTTAATGCTGCAAAATTCTCAGTGCTTATTTTGAATCAGAACCAGAGATCGAGAAAAAACAGTTAAAAATCAGGTATCAATCAACTATCATAGTATAAAACGCTCAAGTAACACTGTGAGGCAAAGATCATTGATATCCTAGCACAATTTCTGAGAAAAAAACTCATGTTTATAGCAAAAAAGAAAAATTTTCCCGTACAAGCTCCTCTCTCTAATATGTGATTGCTCTTCTGATCCCATTCTACTCTGATGAAAATTTTGTAAATATTGTCTTCCTCAATTGGGATTGATGTTTCGCATAATTTTAACTTTTTTTGTCACTTCTGAATCACATTTCCAATGAAATCTATAATATATTCGGAAGGGAAGTATCAAGGTGGATCAAATGATGTATAAATAAATGATCTTTCGCAAAAAAACTCTTTAGAAAAAAAATTTCAATTTCAAAACAAGATGTAGTGGTGAAGTACAGAAAAGTAGAAAAAGTGTTAATTATTGAAAAAAAAGTCGTTGGTTTAGGAACCGGTTCCTAAACCAAATATGTCCACTGTGTATCTGAAGACAAGGTATCTCAAAAAATCTCCTGTTAACTACATCTGTTACTTATTGCCCGGATGTTGGAAGAAATCATATTTTTGACAAACAATATCATTTTAGTTTGTGGTGGTAATTTGATAGCAAAAGCGGAAACGCAACAGATTTATTCACATGCAAATTATGGAAAATCAAAATACAACAGTAAAGAAACATGTGTTTGGACATTGAAAGGTATATCTGAATATATGAAAGATATATCTAATAAGAACAATTTTCATTTATCTAGCACGTTTCGGTAAATGTATAAAAATATGGTTTGAAACATTTCAACTTGAAAAACAAAGTGGAGCAGAATGGTACGAAAGCTACTTTTCTAAATAGAACACATATTTATCTTTTTCACTTGTTTCCAGTTACGATTCTGTTCAAATATTTGACGGACCATCAGATCATGACCGTAGTTTTGGCTCTTATTGTGGTACAACTTTGTCAACAACATTACCGTTGGATGAACAAGATCCAGATTCAACTCCATCTTTATTCATTTCCACTCGTAATAGTGCATTTATCAGATTTGAAACAGATCCGAGCGAACAAGACGATGGATTTATTGCAAATTATGCAGAAATATCATGTACAAAAGTAGTCAATGACGATTGGCAACATTACTCCCTTCAAAGGACAAGAATTAAATAGTAGTACAAAGCTTTTACTTTAAATTATCGATAACAACGAATGCTTTTATTTTATTCAATAAATATCAGCAAATATATCTGTCAGATAAATACCTATTATGCTTAGGTATGAGGGCTCTCTCTTAAAAAATTGATGATTTTCTTAAAAAATCAAATTTATTGCTAGTGATTTTCAAACTTGTTTAACGTTTTCATTTGTTTTATTCTGAAACTGAAACATAAGTCTAAAATCTATGAAACAGATTTTTGAATTTCGCTTCCTGTTTCGAGAAAACTGTAAAATATTTTCATTATCTCAGATTTCAGGAGTTTTTCGGAGTTTTGACTTGAAAGTTGTGCTGAAAATGACCGAAAGTGAAATTCATAAAGCTGCTCCATAGACTTTTAGATCTAAGTGTCTATTTTCATTTGAAATCACCCGCGCCTTTGTACTTCTTTTCAAAAAAACAACCATCAGCATTTTTGCTGAGATTTATCTCCTGTGACAATGATAATTCGGTAGCACTCCAACCGTTTAAACTCAAATTTTTAGCATAGCCTAATTAGACAGTAAGTATTAACATATATAAGTTTCATTAAAATAGCTTGTAGAACAAAAAGGGGTTTTCCAGAGGGGAGATCACCGTAAGGTAAAACAATGTCTGAGCAAATGTTAGAAACAGTCGAAAACATCTATTTTAAGTCCCTTCCTATAGCACAAAATCTTTTCGCCAGCTTACATCAGATCTCGACCAAACTTTCAGGAAATGTTGGTCCCATTAAATTATAGTTACGATAAAATTGGCAGGACTCCATTTGTTGGTCTTCGCGAGATGGCGCCCGAACTGGAATCAAGAAAGGGAGTTAGCATTTGCAGGAGTTCTCCATACTCGTACATGCTAGAGACCATGGAAACGTTTTAAATTTCAGACAACACAGGTGTCTAGAGACTAAAAGAGCCGGATTTTTAACATTTTGCTTTGTGCAGGTTCTGGCAAGGGAAAACTCGAAAACAGCAGTTCTAATTTCCCAAAGACGTTCCACTGTATGAAAATCTAGACTAAAACTAAAAAATCGCGCTTTTTAGCTACCAGGTACATCTGCAATCTGAAACGTCTACGTCTTTAGCACGTATGATTATGAAAAATTCGTGTAAATACGAAACACCTTAAAGGAAAAAATGATACGAAATATACTTTTTTTGAGAAAATACTTTTTTCTTTCAAAAAGTCAGTTATTCTTGTAAGTTTCAGACAAAAAATACTTGTTCATATATTGCTAGAGGTTGTTGGCCATGGGGAATCTAATGAACAAATGCGCGAGGATGTGTCGCATGTCTGAATCAGATTTCTCATGGTCGAAAGCCTACAGAGCCACGAAATTAGCACAAACTAGAAAACTGATAACCTTTGCTTTTACCCGTAGAATATCAAGAGATCCCTGGAAACCTTTAAACTGAGTCATGAAGGACTTAAAACTAAGTACATTTGAAAAAGGACATCTTGTACTATCAGACCATGTATTTTTCTTAAAATCAAAATTTTTGCCAACACAGTGCTGACGCAACATAGCTGACGCAGAGGAACTTCATTGTGCAAGTCTATTTTCGATCGAAAAGGCGCGCAAAATTCTTTTTTTCGAACAGGCAGCTAAACTGAATGAGCGTAAAAAGCGCATAACTACCATCTTTAACATTCTAATACGTTTTCAGTATTTTCCCTTTTTCTCAATTATATAATTTTAAAACCCCCAGAAAAAAATTTCACATCAACTGATTTTGCCGATGCTCATCTTCTTGAATTTGTCAAACATCAAACTATTTGTTGTCGAAATCATATTATTCCAATTTTTTCAGAAAAAAAGTACACTAGAATTGTAAACAAGCACGACAACAGCGAGAAACAGAGCACAAAAGAAAAATAGAGGCTAACTACAACAACATTTTGTTTAAAGGCGAGTAACCGACTACACATACAAACATCGATAATTTCATGACTCGCGAAAAATAAGTAGTGTTTTGAATGACAATTACACAAAATAAACACTCAAACACATACAGTGAGTTCACGAAACGATGTTTTTTCGTCGTTTATTCTTCTTCGTCATCTCCGTCACTTTCATCGTCTAATTCCGAATCATTGTCTTCTTCGCCATTAGCGGCTGAAGCACCTTTTTTCGCTGGTGCTTTGCCATTTGCAACAGGTTTTTTCTTTGTCGAAGCGGAACCATTACTAGCCGATGCTTGATATGTACCATTTTTATACGCAATCATCTCTTTTTCATAACGTGCTTTTTCTTTTTCAGCAAGTTTTTCATAATGTTTTTTCATCTCCGGTTTCACACTTTTCCACTCACTACCGATTGCTTTAGCTAAAAGAAAAATACATTAATGTATGTGCGGCTGTAGATCCCTAATGACAATTGCAAATATATAAAGATGCCGAAATATTTCATAAGATAATGAATTGCTTCTATCATATTCTAGTAATTCGTAAAAGCACCTTTCTTAAACCGCATGTGAACCAAAGCAACAGTATCAGTCAGACTATGCTTTGGATCAAACAAGAGGTTAGGGGAAAATAGTTATCTGCACCTTCTGAGTAAAACTAAGCAAAAACTGGACTATAGAAAAGTCATATCACCGAAACGAAAAATTTTAAAAGCATGCATGTTCGGTCAAAATTGAATGGAGATTCGTCTTCTCCATAATCACTTATCTTGTACGCGATAACTTTCGATCGGGATACTTTAGAAAAATTTTCGACTTCGTTTTGCCTCTAGGCTCATGCAATGACTTTTTCAAAAATTTTTGAGCAAGACCATGACCATATTTTTTTCCGAAATACCCCGATCTGAAAGTTATCGCGTACAAGATAGTGGACTATGAGGAAGACGAATCTACAATCGATTTTGATCGAACAAATTTTAAAATTTTTCGATTTGGTGATATGCTTATACTCTACGATTGGGCAGGAGAACGGAGAGAATTTTCCCATCCAAAACTTGTAGACTTTACGCAGACTTTTGAAACGTAATAGAAGATGCAATGTCACCATAGCGCCACAGTAGAGCGCTTCTGTATTTGCCATCAATCAGAAAAGAATATATAGGATGATGATAATATGCCTAAGCATTTTACTTTTTTTCTGTCAAATGGAGGTAGAAAGCCTATCGTCCAGACATATTTCTGGTACGACAGGGTTTTTCTGCTTGTGTATATTTCTCTTCAGCCGTTTCTACGTTATTTAACATCATGCTCCTGTTTCAAAAAGACGTTGACAATGTTCAATGTTTATAAATGAAGTTCTAACTTTTCGTTTTTGGGATTATAATTTCCACAATAGTATATCCGAGGAACAGAAAGATAAGCCATAAAAATCTACAGGATGCGCTTTCTGTCTAAAATTTTGTCCCTCGTACAACGTGCTTTCTCGTTAGCAGTTTTGACGCCAGTGTCGTTACAAAAGAAAGCGGACGTTCGTATACGGTAACCCATACGGACCACTGTAATTATATCGTTTTACTGCCGTTTACGGACTGTTTTTGCCGGACCTAGGATGTATAAGTTTTTTTCTGAGAGGTCACCGTTAAACACAGAATAAAAATAAATTGTCTGGGTGTCCTAGTGGGATATCCCATCTCATTAGGATCTCTGCTCAAACACATCTCAGTCTTCACCACTCTGGTACTCTCGTATGCGAAAACTAAACGTTTCTATAAGAAACACTTACCGAGATCACCAAATGCCATGCTTGGATTTTCAGCTTTTATTTTTGGTCTGGTATCTGCTTGAAATAAGAAATATGGCTAAACGAAAATAAAAAGTAGATTAATGGTTTACAAACAATCATCATAACTTACTGATAGTGGTTTTTTCGGTGCATTAGGATCTTTTTCTTTTGCTGCTGATTTTGGTGGCATTATTACTGCTGTAAATAACTGACGCAGGATACAATGAGAAAAATAATCGACGAATATCAAATACAATGAAGACTAAAAGCAAATAACCAGAAAAATGACTACCTAAAATTCAAGTATTATTCGTCTCCTTTCCTCAACAAATATAGTTTCAAGCAAAAACGACTAGCAAGTTCAGTACTTTTTTTAGAAGTTACCCTTCTACTCTGCTACTATGTTTTTCGCTAAAACTAGTTTTATAGTAGTCAAAACGAAATTTATTTCCAAAATTAACAATTATAGAAAATTCTTTTTTATATAATATGCAAAGTTTGTAGAGGAGAAACAGCGTTTTCAAACTAGTTTACGAACATTAGTTAGTGAATCAGTTCGAACATTAACTGCCTATCTCAATATTTCTCACTGACCTTGTATGTTAAATTATGTGTCGACCGTATCGTATAAGAGAAAAAATTGAAATAAACTTACATAATACGGAATTGAAATAGAAATGCTATATATGTATGGTCTGTACGATGATATGAAGGCGACGATTGTACACTCACTATACGGTTGTGTAGTGGAAGAATTTTTCTTTGAATAATATAATGTGTGTTTATTTATACGTGGAAGAAGAAATATTTTGCTATTCGTAGACGTGTATATGGACAATGACAATATAAACTATTCACTTCTAGATAAAAGGAAGGTTTCAATATAGAGTAACGGGTGACTAAGAGAAGAGAGAGAAGTATATATATGATGGGAGAAAGAATCTATTTAAGAAGGAAAAAGCAGTGAACATACACACATATACGTACACTACTACGGATAGTAGCCATGGATTGGTCAAATTGTCTGACACTGAGAACAAAGGGATATCGAAAATCTAGAACCATTGTGTATGATGTCAACCGACTAAAACGTAGAAATCTAGTTATGTTGGCATCCAGCTAAATCAAAATGTGTGTATTCAATCAAGTTCTACACTGAGAGATTAGAGTTTTTGAAAATCTTTCAGCCGAAGCGTTTAGCTAATGAATAGTATAATTTTTATCTATATTCACAGACTAAAGTGCAATGTATGAAAAAGTCATGTTATTCGGAACAATGAACAATACATTTTGCATCGAAACCTATACACCATTAAATTGTGGAGGCAAAATTGACTGATGGGTACGGTTTTGCGTAATAATCGATTTAAACCAAGGGCGCAGGAGAGAAAATGATGTTTTCGTACTTCGAAAGTTTTTAAAAACACTGTCAAAAATTTTTCTACTTAAGACTTTTCAATTTCTCTAATCTCATGACTATGTAGGCTAGAGTATCTTCTGAGTTTATGGAATCGTTTAGATTGGTTTTTGAGAATCGTCTGAAAACAGAAGAAAATGAGCAGTTTTCATATAATTAAGTTTTTTCTAGGTTTCAGTTTTTCTCTAAAATTAAATAGTACTACGAGGCTCAGAATTCAATAATCTATGCTAAACAGTTTTCGATGTTACCAAGAGTCCTGGAACTCCCAGAAAATTCTATGTTATGCGTTAACCACGAGAAATGATGGAGACTCATTTTAACGAAGATTATCTTAACTACCTATCCATATGAAAAAATGATTATATTGTTATTTTGAATTCAGAAATGCGAAAAAGTTTTTCAAATATCTTGTCAAAAACCTGTCGTCGAAAAAGATTTTAAAATTTTTTTGGTTATGAAATGGCTTTTTCCACAAACTGGTGAAAAACCATATGTTTATCTCACAGGTCAAAAGCCACTTCAGAAACAACTGAGTACATTACAGGGACTGTCGTGGGCACGAATTTCCCGTCCATGGACGGAACAGTTGCGTCCGTGGCCGCCCATGGACGGACAGTTGCGTCTATGAGCGTCCATGGGTGGCACCTTAAAAACCAGTTACGTCCATGGGCGACCATGGGCATCCACGGATGGCACTTTAAAAAA